AGCTCAGCTTCTCTTCTCCCTCGTTTCTGGCAGGTGCTACACGAACCCCTGATTGACGAGGACCCTGTGTTCATCGCCACGTGCACAGAGCGGGAACTGCGAAAGAGGAAAAAGCGGAAATTCAGCCTCTGGGTCAGGCAGTGTTCTTCCACCGGCTTCATCATCCAGGTGAGCCCCGGGCTGGGCCCAGGGAGGCCAAGGGAAGATGGTTCTCGCGGTAACTGATGAGCCGGCTCACTCCCCCTCCTCGTGGGCCTTCCCCAGAAGCTCCGGCGGGGCTGCTCCCCCCTCACTGGGGCGGCCGGCACCTCCCTACCTGCCCTTCCTGTCCTGTCCGGCCCTTCTGGTTCAGTTAACAGCAGCAAACACTGATCAAGGCTCGGGCCCTGACAGCGTCGGCCAGAGACTTCACCAAAAGAGTGGGGCACACGAGGTGACTGCCGTCTCTCTCGGGAACCCACCGTGTGGTGGTCCCGGAAGCCCCCTCCCACCCCCAACCTGCCAGGTGTCTGTCCTACTGCCCTGTATTGAGGAAGCCTTCTTCACAGGCCACCAACAGCCAGCGGCTTAAATTACGCTTGGTCAGGAGCGCGGGCGGCCCTTCGAGCTGGCATTGCCACCTGCTCCCTGGCTCTGCCGTGGTCCAGGCCGGTGCTGACACGGGTTTCAGAAGCGGTGGCCGAGCTCCGCTACAGGGGAGGTGTGAGGTGTTCGGGATCGGCCAGGGTGCGGACTGCACAAAAGGAGGAGGTGGGGGCCGGTGAACACCGGATGTGGCACCCGAGGGACAGATCCCGGCTCCGGCTGGTTTCTCCAGCCGCGCTGTTCAGGATACCTTCTCCCAGCTGTCAGGCCTGCCGGCCCTGCGGTCACGGCTGACCCCACCTCGCTGCCCCTGCCTGGCTGCGGCCCCAGGCCCCAGGCACAGGGGTCTTGCCCTCCCTTCTCCCCCTGAGCCAGAGGAGGATTCATGGGAAGATTCAGTTGAGCATCCCTTTGTCCCAGCAGGGAAAGTGCATGTGCTTCAGGCCAACATATCTGCTCAGAAGGACCATCCTAGTCTCCCTGCGGGCTCGGGGGACCCTCAGCTCAGCCTGGGGCTGGGATCTCCAGCTGGACCCCAGACCCGAGTGGGCTTGAGCACAGGCTTCGGGCAGTTGCCAGAATGGACCTGTCCCACAGCAGGATTTACTCTGGATGTGCAGCCTGGGCCCTCTGTCCCTGCACAGCCTCTGGTGGCCCGTGCCACCTCAGTAGTGTCCTTTGCAGTGAGGCTCCCTGGGGACAGGGGAGGGAGGTTCACTCTGTGCAACCCCTCCTCGGGAAGCCTTGCGGCCTTTCTGTGGGGTCAGAAGGAGACTGTCCGTGCAGAGTGTTGTTCTGTCTACTCCGTCAGAAGGATTGGGAATCCAACGGGGAAAAAACTGGCCAACGCTTCAGTTAATGTTATATTGACCCGTGAGATTCTTTGAGGAAAGCAAGGGTCTACTAATTAAAAAAAAAAAACAAAAAAAAAAACGGTAGGGGCGCCTGGGTGGCTCAGTCGGCTGAGCATCCGGCTTCGGCTCAGGTCATGATCTCACAGTTCGTGAGTTCGAGCCCCGCGTCGGGCTCTGTGCTGACAGCTTGGAGCCTGGAGCCTGTTTCGGATTCTGTGTCTCTCTCTCTGCTCCTGCCCTGCTCATGCTCTGTCTCTGTCTCTCAAAATAAATAAATAAACATTTAAAAAAATTAAAAAAAAATGGTATAGTCAAAAAGAGCAGATTTCCCTTATTTGAATGTGTTGATCTAGCCGCCTGCCTCTGCAGTGTGAGACCTGGGGTTCCCCGTGAGGATGTTGGCAGGCAGGAGAGCCCCAAGAAGGGGGCGGCAGGGCACCAAATGCCTGCCGAGTGTGCTGTCCGTGAGCTTTAAGGGACACAGGGATGCTCTGCCCAAAGTGGAGAGGCCAGACAGTCCCCAGGGGGTTGAATGACTGCCGTGTTGAGCAGGGACAGAGCCGTTCTAAATGACAAGCCGCCGTCTCCTGCTGAGTGAACTAACATTCACTGGAGGTGGACGGGCTTTAGAAGCCAGAATTCAAGATAGAATCTCCCAGATGAAAGGACCCCTGGTTCCCACCCCCTGTATGTCTCTAAACGTGTCCAGGCAGCGCCCCGATGCGCATCGGTGAGGGGTGCTCGGAAGGAGGTCCTCTACCCTGTGTTGTTGGACCAGCTGATCTGAAAGTGTCTCTCCTCCCTTCAGCCCGATGTGTGGATTCACGATGATGGCCACCTCGGGGCTTCCGGAAAGGGTACTTTGCTTCGGTGCCAGGCTCTCTGCCCAGGCCCTTTACCGGCTTTACTTGCTTTCTCTTCACCACAAACTTACGACTCAGGCAGTGTTCCTGCCCCTTCCACGGTGAGGAACTGAGGCACAGGGAGGGAAGCTACCTCGCCCAAGGGGTCAGCCGTAGAGCGCTAGACCTGGGATTAAACCCGGCCTTTCCGGCCCCAGACCCCACCTTCTTAACCACCAGGCTGCCTGGGGGAATTTTCTCATGTGAGACAAAAACCTCGCATCTCTTCTCTTAACCCAGCTTGCTTGTTGTTTCATTGATGGTTTTAGCATCAACTGTCCCCCATCTCCCTTAGTTTGAGACCTGCTTTTCATGTGGAAAGGACTTGAGGAACTTGCAGGAAGGGGTGTCTCTTCTGATTTGATTTTTAGTCTTTTAACAGGATTCGCTCGAAATGCCAGGATCAGAGTGGGATTAATTAACCGGAGTGGATTTTGCTTCTGGAGTCAAAAACCGGGCAGCACAGGGCCCTCGTCCATCTGTCTCCTTGTGCGCGCTGGGGACGCGCTCTTCCGTCCTGGCCACCTTGGAGGTGGTTATGTCACAGGGTGGAATTGGCTGGGGTGCGAGACATCTGTCACATCATCTCTGAGTGTCCTTGAGCAAGTGGCTGAGAATCATCTCCTCCTCAGTCTTCCTGAGTGGGGTTACTTTGCCCCGCCCTCCTCACCGTGTAGGGGTTCAGAGGTGACAGTAAATATCCAGTGGCCCTATACGTGCATTAGGCACTGACTGGACCAGACTGAACCCTGGCTTTCTCCGCAAGGAGCTTAGACTCTACAACCACACGGAAGTGAACGGGTGCAAAGACCCACAGGATGCTAGCCCCCGCCCCCCACCCCCCTCCCCGCAAGCCTCCCCGAGGTTTGTGCTTTGGAATGAAACAAAAGCGAGTTTCTTGCAAGGGTCAGTTGTGCTGAAGGCGCACAGTTAGAGAAGAACCACCTTGGCGCACAGGCCTTTCCCCGCCGCAGTCGAGGTAAGAGGCCACGTGAGGGGAAGTTGGTAGCTCAAGGCGGCAGTAAGGGGGCGGGTGGCAGACTTTGCTGGAAAATAACCGGGCTAAACAAACCGAGGGTGACATAAGGCAGCACCGTCCAGTCGGACTTTCCGTGACAGCGGCTACCAGCCCACGGGACTGTTGAGGACTTGAAATGCGACGGGTGTGACTGAGGAATTGCATTTTTCATTTTACTTAATTTCGGTTAAATAAAACCAGCCACACGTGCCTAGGGGGCGTGGAGCGTGCGCATAGAGCTTTGCTATTTAAAAAAAAAAAATTTTTTTTTTTACATACACAGCTTTCATCACAGGCAGTGGCCTTTTGCGAGGTACATGGCGTATTATGATCCTTACAAATGAGGAAACCAAGGCTCAGTGCAATTAAGTTACTGGCCCCAAACCACACAAGCCAGTAAAGGGCAGAGCCCCAGCCCATCAAACCCAGCACTGATTCCTTCACCGTCTCCTTGCAGTAGGCCCTGTTCCTCCCCTGGTAAGGGAATATCACTTCAATTTTACGGACACCAGTGGCTGTCCCCTGCCCAACCCCCGGGGTGTCCCACATCTCCATAAGCTCATTCTGCATAATTTCAGCCAGTGCACACCATGCCTTCCCACACTGCTCTCCCCACCCCCGACCCCATGAGGAGTCCACCCTCCACCCTCTCCAAGCACAGCTTGTCAATTGGAGGTTCGAGCAAAGGATCACAGACCCCGATCCTGAGTGACTTCCCAGTCCCCGGAGATGCCGTGCTCCTACAGATACGCAACGGCAACAGGGGAAGCCTGATTCTCTTCTGTTCTGGAAAAGAAGTAGGGCCAGTGATCAAGACCAGCAGAGATGAACCAGGTTCTCCCCGAGACGGGGAGAGTGCCAGAACCCCAGTGACAGCTTCGTGGGGGCGTCGTAACGAGCTGTGAATCCATCCGTCGTTATAGCTGTCACCGGTGTGCTGAGAAGGCACGGTGGGGGTGGGGCAGGAGAGCTGGGCCCCCCTTCTCCAGGTCTTGAGGCCTTTCAGAAGCAGGCTGAGACAGTTACGTGTTATTTGTGTCCCCCAAGTTGGTTTCCTAAGGCTCTTTCCGTTGTGGTGACAATTTAAAACACGCCACGTTAGTAGTCGCATCCCGGGGCAAAGCGTCCTGCCGTGTTTTGACCAATTTTCTTTTCTTTTCTTCCTGTATATATCTGAAAGTTAGTTAAGTCCTAGGAGCAAGAAAAACTTTTGTTAGGAGAAAATGAAAAGCTTGGCAATGAAAACATAACAGTTTTCTGCTCTAAAGACCTTTGTCAGACAAGCTCGTGGCTCAGAGAGTAAAGCGTCTGCAGCAAATTCACATTCCCAGGGGCGGGCAGTGCCCTGTGCTCTCCGTGCTGCTGGGACTATTTCAGTGTAATGATGCTGTCTCCACATGTGTCCAGGGAGAGACGGGACCTCTTGGGAGCCACACCAGCCCGCAGTTACACATCTAAATGAAGGCTGTTTCCTCCGGCGCTGCCTCTCGGAGGCTCTTACGGAAAGTGCCTGGCACAGTGTAGGAGTGGATGTGTGGGTCTCCAGCGATGCTGCCTTTCTCAGATTACTGATCTTTAGGGCAGGCTCGCAGATCTGGACACAATTCATGTGTGTGTCTTCAGCCGTCACAGCAGTGGCGGAGTTGGGATGAGATTCCATTGGAGGCTCTGGGGTTTTTTCATAGAACTACCGATTTATTCGTTCAGCTAAGGAGTCTGAATTGATATCTCTGACCAGCTGAAGTAATTCAGTCCAAGCAAACCCAGGCCAGTGGGATACTGGACCAGAGGGCCCGTCGGACAAGCAGC